CCTCGGTTCCTGCGCCGGGAGTGAGACAAGCACAACCTCAGGGAGACCCGGCCCTGCGCACAGACACCGGCGGCCCCCCGCCACGGCAGCCCCGGAGGAGGAAGCCGGCCCCTTCCCTCGTCCTGCAGCGCCGGGAGCCTTCGGACCTTCCGAGTGTCCGGCAGACACCTGTCCCGCCTGGAGGCAGCTCTCATGGACTAACCAGCTCCTTCCACTCAAGTACATTCTGTGGACATAAACATTTTTTAACTTTTTTAAGAACTTTTTTTCCCCATGGAATTTTTACCAGCTGCCCCTTAGTTATTTCCTGCTTCTCCCATCTCAGACAGCGCTGACTTTGTTTTTTCCTGGTACTGTAGTATGGGGATCAAATCAAAACGGAGATTTTAAGTATTGCGAGAGCCCTCCAGTCCATTCACCTGTTAAAAGTGAGCAGTGCTGTTCCTGTCTTTCTTCTTTTTCCCCACGTCGCCTGTCGGATGTGATGGAACTCATGTTCGCAGAGTGGGAGGACGGGGAGAGGTTTTCATTTGAAGACTCCGATCGCTTTGAAGAAGACTCTCTTTGTTCCTTCATCTCTGAGGCAGAGAGCCTTTGCCAGAACTGGAGAGGATGGAGGAAGCAATCGGCTGGACCCAATTCCCCCACTGTCAAAATGAAAGGTGAGGTCACCCGGTTTCATTGGGATGTTCTTTGGATTCGTGGAAGTTGTAGGGCAAGGGAGGGTGGTAAGTGAGGAGATCTGCAGAAGGAAAGTCAGAGCAGCAGAGAGAACTCCTATGTAGGATTCACTGTCGGGATAATTTTTGGCCAAAGATTGAAAGTGTAAGTTCACCAGGGTTCTTAAGACAAAGCTGTCTTTTAGGTGAGTTTTCACCTGGGTGCACTCATAGTATTGTGGTGCTGCTCTTCTGAGTAGATTCTGTGGGATTGCTCTTGGAAATCTGAAAACTGTTTTCTATAAACAAATTGCAGACTTGGCTGGGAACAATTGCATAGGTTCCCACATGCTTTGATTGAAGTACACTAAGGTTTCAAAGAGGGTTTTGTTACCTCTATAAAGCTACTCATGTAAAGCCATGTAAGCCGTCATTGTATAGGGCAGTCCATTTTCCTTGTCTGATTCTTGGCATTTCTCGTTTTTCTAGTAAATTGGCTCTTTCTTTTGCAATAGTGGAGCAAGAGGGCTGTAACACTGTCACAAAGAAGTCGACAAACAACAGTGTGCCTGCTTCAAGAGTTATTTCCTTTCTGCTGATAGTAATTTATATTTAATAGCAGACAGCAAAATAGGAAACATTAGCAACTGAATTTTATTTTTAATTAACTATTAGCTCTTAACTATTAAAAGAGCTATTAGCTCTTTTCTTGATTTTTTTTTTCTCCTTTTAACAAAAATTGGTTTCTCTATTATTCTACTACATCATGACCCTGGAATTCAGGTGATGTTTGCACTAAGCAGAGCCAGATACACAGTTAACATAAATTACACAAAATCGTTCTACTTTTCCTTTTATCTCCTGTTTCTTCAGGCCAGTGTCAGTACTTTTCCTGTTATTGCTGATCTTTGTAACCATCACCTGCCTCATTGATATTTCCCTATCTGGAGCTGAAAAACTTTATTCTCTTCTGAATATTGCCCTTACATGTACAGAAAATGCAATTTATATTGAATTGAGTTGAAATTGACCATGTTGTGCTATGGACAAATGTTCAGTTTTCACTGGTTTAGTACCAGAAAATACACTTTGCATTAACCATAGGCTTTCCAGAACAGATTAAGTTTTAGATTGTACTGCTGTAAAGAAAGGGAACTGTGTTGGCATTTTTAAAAGCTTTGAGTCCTAGGATGTAGAAATAAGCATTCTGCATAGAGCAAAGCATACACATATATGTATTTATCTCATGCTGTGCATCAAGTCTTGTTGCACGTGTTAGCTTGCTGGAAAGGAGCTGAATTTTTAAAAACGTACTGGTGTGGAAATAAAGACATCTTTAGTTTGGCAGAGATGTATGGAATTGGTTTGTATGGCTTTGCAAGTCAGACATGTCAAAGGTGATTTTTTTTCCCCCAACTTCTAGATGCTTTTAGCCAACTTTTCTCCACTGGTTCAGTGTATGAGTGCTTGTTCTTCTGGGTCTTGACCTAGTTCCTTGAGCTCTCTTGACCGAATTAAATCAAGCAGCAGTTGCTCTCTCTGCTGCACCCACTTGTTGCACTGAAAGGAAAAGACACTTCAGTAGATCGTACATATTTGCAATCTTCGGGTTCTTTTCTCACGTGTAAAACACAATAGCTAACATTGCTGTGATAATTGTAATTATTTACACCATTTTGAGATGTTGCTGTTCTGAGTTCTGCAGACTTGCATAGGCTTTTATTGCTTATACTTGGTTCATATATTTCAGGTTTTATCTGTAGACACCTAATTCCTTTGTATGAGAGTCTTATTTTAACAGGAGGGACATTTTGAAAGGATACTGTTGCCTCCTTTAAGGCCCTTGCTGGCAATTCCCAGGCTCTGGTCAGAGTTATTTTGAGAACAATGTGGATGTGGATTTGTGACCTAAATAATTATTTATTCACGCTGTGAAGTCACATGTGATACTACCAATGTGGAACACTTGCAGGTACTTTACTGTACACAGTTGTGTTGCCAGTAAGTCTGGTCTGACGTGTGATCTGTCATTGTCTGGAATCTCCTTGGATTTCACAACTCCTGTATCAATTTTGTTGGTTTTAATACCTGTTATTGATAGTGTTTTTAAGTCAGAACACACAGAACTTGCTGGATCCTGAGGTTATCAATTGTAGTGAGTAATTTCAAATGTGATAATTCAAAATTGAGCTGTGTATTTTTATTTCCACAGTTTGCCATTTTGTTGTTGCCTATGCAAACAAAAAGCGAGGTTAGACACTAGGTTCTGTTAAATGCTAAGAGGAAACAAGAGGAACTATATTCTGTTAGTCTTTTCCTCCAAAAAAGCCTGTGTTTTGGTGTGGAATTAGTCAGACAAGTTATGTAATAGAAAGAATTTCTAGCTTTTTCAATTGTTTTCCGTTTGTCCTTGTGTCTAATTCCTCATTAATTGGTTCAAAGAGAATCCCCCTAAGACTGATGGAAGTGCTGTTAGCTGTCTCTTAAACAAACAAGCAAACTACCTGCACACTCACCAGTTACGACTTTCTTACTTTTTTGCAAGTTTTTATTTTCTCTTTGGGTATCTTTACTATTACTGTCATGCTTACTGGAAATTTCATATTAAGGCTTGGGGTAGCTTGTTGCAAATATATATGGTATTCACTACAGAGGGTTGCCAAAAAAAATAATTATTCACTTGTTTGTGAATCACCCCACTGGTTTGCTAGAAAGATGATGGAAGGGGGAGAGGAATGTTTGAGTTTCTCTAATGTAATCCTTGGAACTGATTTTTTTATAAAATCAGGTATCTTGAGTAGTTACATCAGAAAAATAGAATTGTAATTGGTTGATTTTTCTCGCATTTAATTTCTATTGTGGTAAAGTCCTCTTACAGTCTTCCTATATTACACTCTTGAAAGGAATTGTCTCCTTAAGTGTAGAATTGCCAACGTGAAGAAGGAATGCATTGTGTCCACTTCATGGATGCCCTTAGGTTTTGAAACTACTCTTAATCTCCACTAATTCACCTGCACTGAAATCCTGGAGGAAACCTGTCAGTTTTGTGAGTATTGGGAGTCCTGTGATGATTTTGAATGTTTGTTTTACAAATGCCTTGTTCTCTTGTTAATTGCCTTGATTGCTTGCTTTATCCCTTGTGTTTTTAATTTTGAGTGGTGTCATGCTTCTAACTGATATTTGGCCAGTCATTACCTGTATACATCATTGATTAGAGGCTTTCACTGCACAAGCAAACGGAGGATTCTGCTCTGAAGTTAGGGTGAATGGATATTTGGAAATACAATGTCCTTGCAGTGTGTTTAGAACTATCTGATTCTTAGAGCTGGTTTGTAACTCTCAGTCTTTTTCTTACATATCAAATTGCATTCCACTGATTTGTTACCCATCTGCTAACAAATGTACCCACCTGCCTTTTCTCCACTTTTCTGGACAGTCGGTTCTTTCCCAGGAGCCATTATGATCTTCTCATGCCTTTCTCACTTTTTCAAGTAGTTGTATTTTTCATTGGTAATTTAAGTAAGTGTAGTCTTTCTGCAAGTGTTTTATCATCTGTTATCTTCACATAAGCATTTTTGTGATAGAATTTTGAAGAATAAGTGTTCAAGCACATTCATTATCTCTTCAAACCCACTGTGCCTTTGTTTCTTCCTGAAAGCTTCTAAGCTCTTTCCCACCCTTAGTACTTCGTTTCACAGTTTCTGAAGCATAAATATTTACCAAACATTAGAAGCTGTCATTAATACTGTAGGATTGTTAAATAGTGCCTTCACAATATATTTACTCATTTCATATTTATTTATTCACTGTGGATTTGGTTGGAAGTGTGCTGATGAGTGTTGAATCTGTGTTCAGTAGGCAGCTAGTGAGAAAACTTGACTTTTTTTCTCCCTCCCTCTCCCTCCCTCTCCCTCCCTCTCCCTCC